GGAAAGGAGTCTGGCTCTCAGAATAGCTGAAGGTGCAGATCTAGAGGATGATGAAATGGCCATGATCACAAGGGATTTCAAAAGGTACCTGATGCGAGGAAAGGGTTCTTCAAGAGGTACAACCTTCAACAAACCAAGGGCTCATGAGAAATAAAACAACGAGGGTTGCTACAAATGTGGAAAGACTGACCACATGATCAAGAATTGTCCTCAGTGGGAAATTGAATGGAAGAAGAAAAGGGCTGAACGAAGAAATAGGAAGAAGGAATAGGTTCAACCCAAAAGGAATAAAGGACCAACAAAGGCTATGGTTGCTGCTTGGGGAGAAACATCAGATGAGGATTCAGAAGATGAAGCTGGAGATGAACAAGCACTTATGGCCGTCGGAGAATCAGATGATGAAACAAGAGGTAAGTGTGATTCATCTCAAAGACAAGATTAAATTTTTGTCTAAAAAAGGTTATCTGAATTATTGCTAGACTTCATCGATGAGTTTGAGGTAATAAACAATGAGAAGGAACAACTGTCTAGGGAGTGTGTGATCTTAAAAGCCAAGTGCAAAATCTAGAATCTAGGGCTAATGAGAGTGACAGTAAAAATACTGAGTTGAAGAACGAGGTTCTTGAACTTGACACCAGTGTCTTAGAACTTAGGTCTGAAAATTTAAACTGAAATTAGGAACAGGTAAGAAGAAAGTTGATCACACACATATCACCTTAGAAGAAAATCTAGGAAAAATGAAGGATGAGTTGTACAAGAAAGATAAACAAATAAGAGTCTTAAAAGAAGACCTAGGGAAGGTAAAACATGAACTAGATAGAACTTGCAAGTGGAATAAGTCTTCTGATGCACTATCCTGGCTACAAGAACACCACAGCAGCAACAAGAGAGGACTTGGCTATGGGAACCCAGCACCTAAGTGGGATCCCAAAAGCAAGTATATCACTCTTCCTGAAAATAAAATCTGCACACACTGTGGCAAGACTGGTCATTACAAAAGTGAATGTAATGCAAAGGAAAAGGCCAGTCAAAAGAACAAAACTTTTGTTCAAGAGAAAAATAGGCTGCCTGGATGGGCCACAAGGAATTTAATTTACCCCTTTGCCTATAGAAAGGGACCCAAACTATTTTGGGTTCCTAAGACTAACCCCTGATTTCTTTTTGCAGGTCCAAGTGCAGGGAAGTAGCCAAATATGGTACATAGATAGTGGCTGCTCAAAACATATGACTAAAAGTAAGAAACAGTTCCTTTCACTTGAGGACTTAAAAGGAGGTAATGTCTCCTTTGGAAATGAAAAGAAAGGTGAGATTATTGGGTTTGGAAAGGTAGGTAAGACAGACTCACATTCCATTGAGAATGTCTACCTGATAGATGGCTTGAAATATAGCCTAATCAGTGTATCACAACTGTGTGACAGAGGTAACCTTGTAGCATTTACCTCTACCAAATGCTTTGTGATTAATCTTACCACTGACAAGATTGTTTTGCAGGGAAAAAGAGTTAACAATATTTACATTGTAGATTTGTCCACTCTTTCAAAAAATGAACTCACTTGCTTGAGTGTGTTGGACAATGATCCCCTCCCGTGGCACAAAAGACTTGGTCATGCACGTCTGAATCAACTCAACAAATTAGTCTCCAAGGACCTGGTGATAGGGTTACCTAACATCAAGTTCAAGGAAGACAAAGTTTGTGAGGCTTGTACAAGGGGGAAGCAGGTAAGATCATCTTTTAAAAGCAAGAAAATGGTAAGCACAAACAGGACGATGGAACTGGTTCATATGGATCTCTGTGGTCCAATGAGAACATTGAGAAGAGGTGGTAAGAAATATGTGATGGTACTTGTTGATGATTATTCTAGGTTTACCTAGGTACTGTTTTTAACATCTAAGGATGAAGCATTTGACATGTTTACTGCCTTTGTTAGAAAAACTCAGAAACAACTAGGTAATCAACTTGCATCAATCAGGTCTGATCATGGAACTGAATTTGAAAATGCTAAGTTTGCTTAATTTTGTGATGAGCATGGTATAGATCATAATTTTCTGCCCCTAGGACTCCTCAACAAAATGGAACAATTGAAAGAAAGAATAGGACTCTTGAAGATATGGCCAGGACTATGCTTCTTTCTAGTAAACTGCCCCATAGCTTCTAGGCAGAGGCTGTAAATACTGCATGTTACATCATTAATAGATGCATGATTAGACCTCTTGTAGAGAAGACTCCCTATGAGTTACTTTAAGGGAGAAAACCAAATATATCCCATCTTAAGGCATTTGGATGCAAGTGCTTTATGCACAATAATGTAAAGGACTCCCTAGATAAGTTTAATCCCAGAAGTGATGAGGAAGTATTCTTGGGATATTCTTCACATAGCAAAGCTTATAAAGTGTACAACAAAAGAACTTTGTGTGTAGAAGAAAGTGTACATGTAGTTTTTGATTAAACTAACATTCTTTCTGAGAGACAGGAACATGAAGATGAAGCTATTAGGCTGGTAAAAGAATTGAGTGAAGTCTCAGCTCAAGCTAAAGATGCACCAAAAGAAGGAACAGGTGATGGAACAGGTTCTTCCATCCAGGGCAACCTAACAGGGGGTACTGAACAAAGAAGAACCGAAACCAATCCCCTAATGGAACCTGTCCATGACCCTGTTCCTCAACAACAGAACATGGGAGAAACATCAAGCAGAAATGAGTTGGTTGTGAAACCTTACAAGTATCAAAGTTCTCATCCCATTGAGAACATAATTACTGATCCAACATCTGGAGTTAAAACTAGATCACAATTAAAGAATTTGTGTGCTTTTGATGCTTTCTTATCTCTTATTGAGCCTAAAATGTTGCCGAGGCTTTGCAGGATGTAGATTGGGTAAATGCAATGCAAGATAAACTCAATCAGTTTGAGAGAAGTCAAGTTTGGCATCTAGTTCCAAGACCCAAGGACAAATTAGTAATTGGCACTAAATGGGTCTTCAGGAACAAGCTTGATGAAGATGGAACGGTTACAAGGAAAAAGGCAAGACTGGTGGTCCAAGGTTATAGCCAAGAGGAGGGCATAGATTATGATGAGACCTTTGCTCCAGTTGCAAGACTAGAGGCAATAAGACTCCTCATAGCCTTTGCAGCACACATGGAATTCACTCTTCATCAGATGGATGTCAAAAGTGCCTTCCTGAATGGCTACCTAAAAGAAGAAGTGTTTGTCAAACAACCTCTAGGGTTTGAGAGCAAGGAGTGTCCGGAACATGTGTACAAATTAGACAAGGCTCTCTATGGACTCAAGCAGGCTCCTAGAGCATGGTATGAACGACTGTCCAAATTCCTGCTTGAACATGGCCACAAAAGAGGTAAAATTGACAGTACTATATTCGTGAGGGAAAAAGGTAAGGATCTTCTTTTAGTACAAACATATGTTGATGACATAATTTTTGGGGCAACCACTGACACACTAAGTAAGGATTTTGCCAAATTAATGGGAAGTGAGTTTGAAATGAGTATGATGGGTGAGCTTAACTTTTTCTTAGGCTTACAGATCAAACAAAACCCAAATGGAACCATGATCCATCAGCAGAAATATGCAAAAGAGTTGATTATAAAGTTTAAAATGGATGAATCAAAGGAAATAGACACACCCATTGCAACAACTACTAAATTAGACCTAGATGAACCTGGTTCATCTGTTGATCAGAAGTTGTATAGGGGTATGATTGGTTCACTTTTGTATCTTACTGCTAGCAGACCTGACATAGTTTTCAGTGTAGGGCTTTGTGCTCGTTTTCAGGCAAATCCTAAGGAATCTCACTTGACTGTTGTCAAGAGGATACTGAGATATTTGAAAGGCACTACTGATCTTTGTCTTTGGTACCCTAAAGGTAGTAATTTCAATCTAGTGGGGTATGTTGATGCTGACTATGCAGGTTTCCTTGTGGATAGGAAGAGCACCTCAGGTATGGCTCATTTTCTTGGTTCATGTCTTGTATCATGGGCCACTAAAAGTAGAATTCAGTGGCCTTATCCACTGCTGAGGCTGAATATGTTGCTGCTGCCTCTTGTTGTGCTCAATTGCTATGGATCAAACAACAGCTGATAGATTTTGGCATTGAAGTTGGTTGCATTCCTACTTTTTGTGATAACACTAGTGCTATAAGTATGAAAAAGAGCCCAGTTCATCATAAGAGGACTAAGCACATAGATGTTAGACATCACTTCTTAAGGGATAACTATGAGAAATGATTAATTACCATAGAATTCTGTGCTACTGATAAACAAATTGCTGACATCTTTACTAAAGCACTGAGTAGAGAAAGCTTTGAAAGGAACAGGTTGGAATTAGGGATGATTAAGATCACCTAATGGGACCAGCTCAGAATTCACAATGAAAAAAAATTGAAAAAAATCTGGAAAAAAAAAATTTTTTGGCTAGGAAATCTGAACTTGTGTAAATATCTAGATTAATTTTTACTCATCTTCATACTGTAAATAGTATACTCCTGTGACATGTGTTAATATGACTCACTAATCTCTTACAAAATTTTCTCTATTGTGGTAAATTGAGGCATGATCAAGAGAATTCCATATGAAGAACCTGGTTCATCAGTATTGGTTCATCTGGATGCCAAGGTATGTTTTCTATACTCTGCACAATTAGAAATATAAATATTTAAATCATGAGCAGAGTCCTACCATTGTTCAACTCATTAAAAAATCCTATCCGTTTCTTTTTGAACCAGTTCCGTCCTCATTAGAATTCTAACCACAAAAATTGTCTAAAATCTAGGGATGCCTAACCATTCGTTCAACCTGCAATTTTAGGTTGATTAGACCTCTAATTGACTGTTAAAGCTACCGTTATCTATTAAATGAGTCTTTCTCTTTAAATACTCATTATTACTTCCTACCATCCTCATAATTCAAAACCGTCAAAAAACCTTCTTCACTCTCAATTGCTTTCTTCTCTAAAGGTTTAACTCACAAATTCTCTCAAGCAACAAGCTACAATGACGAACCCACAAGACAACCCTGGAACTCCTCCACAACCTACTCCCTCTGATTCATCTACCCCTCCTCCACCTAGCACGACTCCCCAACCCATGCGAAGGAGAGTAAAAATGCTTGCTCGCGAAACGGTGGCATCTGGCTCTCTTTCAAAGAAATTGAATGAGAAACTAAAGGCAAGTCAGGCCCAAGATTCTGATTCTGACTCTGAGTCTGATTCATTCAAATCTGCTAGTGAGAGGGAAGGACCTGGGTCTTCTGACTCTGAGAAGGCTCAAAAATCCCCTTCTAAGGTAAGTTCTTCTTTGACTGAAAATCTAGAAAATAGGTTTGTGTTGGTTGGACCTATAATGGATGTGGAATTACCTAAGTTAGGAAGGAGTGGAGGTAAAAAGAAATTTGAAAAAGAAAAAGAGAGAGAGGGTGAATGTGATGACGTTAGGGGAAAAGGGAAAGGAGTGGTTGATCATTCACCTGAATTGCCTGTACCTGTTATTTGTGGGGTTGCACAGGAAACTGTTGACAAAAGTAGCAAGAAGTCAGGGGGAAGCGGTTCAGGGGAGGCTACTGAGGGGCTAGTTAATCTAAGCTCACAAGGAGATGAACCTGGTTCATCAATTGAAGAGACCCTAGCAGACTTTCTGAAAAAGGTAGGTGCAAGTTACGATCCAAAGAAAAGAAGAACTCCCACACCAAAACCCCCAAGTGCTGCTAAACCTTCCAAGAAACGAAAGGCTTCCTCCCCAACAACTACTGAAACTACCTTGCCAAAGGGAAGAGCAACAAGAAGCAGAGTGAAATAGAGTGAGAGAGACCTACAACAGGCTTTGGCTGAAAGTAAGAAGAAAATGATGGATAAAGGAATAGGTAAGGTTGCAGAGTCCTCTGAAGCAGTTGATGTTGAGGAGATGGAACAGGTCCATCAGGAGGACCATGCAACAAAGGAGGTTCAGACCCCCAAGCCCAAAAAGACCAAGACTTCTTCCTAGAAGTCTTCCTCTGTGTCTGAGGCTGCTGAACCTTCATTGGCCAAGAGGAGAAGGTCTGCAGTAAAAAGCAAACAAGTTAGAGTTTCTGAAGATGAGTAATGGAGTGGTGAAGAAGAAAATGAGTCTGATGGTGAACAAGACAAGCTGGCCAAGTTTGGCAAAAGGAAAATTTTGAAGGGAAGATTGCTAAAAGATTTGGTGAAACCAGGAATGGTTCGTTTGGTTGACACTCTAGCTGCTCAGGGTTAGAAGGACATGGTCCTTCAAATGGATGGGAGATTGGCCAGAAATGAAATCATTGAATTCATGGCAAATGCTGAAGTCAAAGATGGCAGAGTTACAAGCAAAGTCAAAGGAGTTCAAGTGACATTTGATGCAGAGAAGCTGGGAGAGATTCTAGACATCCCTGCTGAGGGATATGAGGATTACACCAGACAGAGATGGTCAAGTCTGGATTCCCTTTCGCCTGCCCTTACAATCTCTAGGAGATTCTGTGATGTTGCATAAGTGAATGAGGACAAGTTTGTGCACAAGAGTGAAATGAAGCCACAACACAAAGTCATTTTTGAGTTTGTCAACTAGTGCCTACTTCCCAGGCAGGAGAGAAGGCATATTGCAAATTATATGGACTTAGTTTTGATAGAGTGCCTTGAAAGTGGAAGGCAAATTAACTGGCCTGCATTCATCATCAAGCTACTGGACAGGGTTATCAATGGTTCCAAGGCTCATGCTACCCCCTATGGCTTTATTCTGACTACGGTTCTGGATAAGTGCAATGTGCCTCTGAAGAAATGGAAAATGGCCACAAGCAAGGATTACTTTGGTATTAATACTCTGCTTTCTTGTGACTATTTAGTCAATGCCATTCCAAATGAACCTGGTTCATCCAAGAAGACACCTATCAATAGTAAAGTCAGGGCTCTTGTTCAGGAAAGCGAGGCCAAGGATGCTGAGATAGCTAGGCTAAAGGCTCGTGTGGCAGAGTTGGAATCTGAGATGGATGCTCTCAGAACTAAGCTTACCAAGGAAAAGGAGAAGAATGATGGAATTCTTCACAATATGTTGAATCTTCTCCAAGCCCAAAACCAACCCTCTAGCTCCCCCAAGCCTTAGGAATTCTAGCCTTTATCTCCTGAACCTGTCTAGTACCTTCAGTGACCCGGATTAGGGATTTTTCTTTTTTTTTTTTGCTCATGTTTTGAATAGTTTTGCTTTCTAGTTGTGGATTGTGGTAGCAACATATCTTCTATCAATGATATCTACTGTTTTTGCTCTTGTTGAATGTTAATATTTCCTTGATAATTTAAATATGTTTGCTTGATTACTAATTATTAATCCATGATTGCACTTGCAGTTGCCCCAGTGGCTATGAGTACTTATTAAAATCTGGGACTCACACTTTGTGTATGCAACTTTTCGATGATGCCAAAAGGGGGAAGAGATATTGTGCTTTACATATTCTGAATAAGTGACATTTATAACCTAATTAACCTGGTCCTTGATGATAAGTGAATTTTTTAAACTCTGTATTGATGGTTAAGCTGAGTTCTTACAGGGTCTAAGTGAGCAAAAAGCAACGAGTTTGTCATCATCAAAAAGGGGAAATTGGTTGGCCCAAGTAAATGTGAAGTTTTAAAGATTGACAAAAGAACTCAGACATGGACCAGGTCCATCTTGTGAAGTACAGTCCTGTTCAACCCAAACATGTGAGATGCACGTGGAGGAGATAAATCTAACTTATCAGAAGTAATATCTCCTGATCTGATCGAAAAGGCTGCATATTGGATAAGGAGAGAAAGACTCCTTACACGAAGAGAACACAGTTTAGGAAGAGGATAGTGTTAGAGTATGAGATCAACTAGAACTCTTCTACCATGGAAGAGTAGCGTCTGTATCCCAGTCAATCTCTAATTACTAACTCCTTAAATATCAGTGTTGTTCTCTTTACAGGTAATGCACATAAGCAGAAGTTAAACGTGAATTGAGAGCAAAATAGCAAGGCAATTTTGCAAGCAATTTATGTGTGATTCAAGCGTGCAATCCTGAAGCTACTTGAACCAGATAGAAGAACCAGTTCCAAGTGTCTATCTTTTATCTAGTTCAATTTTAGTAGGTGATTTTACATTGTACCTTTCAGCTTTTATAGAAGCAATTGTATTAGATACTTAGAGTGTTCAAGTTAGAGTTAACTTAAAGTTGTCGCAACAGTTGAGGCTGTGTGCCACAACGGGATTAGAGTTAATCCTAGGTTTACAAAAGAGTTTTTGTAAATGCAATTTTTGGCTCAGTGATTTTAGTGGATTTTTGAAAAAATTCTACTGAGTAGTAGGTCGTGGTTTTTTTTCACCTTTTGAGCCAGGTGTTTTCCACGTAAAAATCTCTGTGTTCTTTATTTTCTTTACTTATTATTCCGCAAACAGTAGTAGTTGGAACACATAGAAGAACCAGGTCCTTCTATAATCAAGTTAAGTGAAAATTGGGTACCACACAAATCATCCCCCTCTTGTGTGGTATTGAAGTATAAAATATAACGTAAGTTTAACAACCTTGGTACCGTTATATATATATGATATGGTTTTTTGAGTGGAACGATTATTGTAGAAAAATATTTAAAAAGTATAATTTTATATAGTTATTAATATTACTACTTTCGAAAATGCTTTAAATTATACACATAGTTTATGTGATTTTCTTTATTTGTAAAGGTAGAAATTATTTTTCTCACAAGAAAAGAAGGTTATCTTCTTACCATTTTAAGAATTAAGTGTACGAGAATTTTTACTCTTTATATGAGATTTGGAAAATTATAAGTTGAGAAAATATATGTTTTTTTACATGGATGTTTTAATGAAATAATAATGTATGTATTTATTTCGTATGGTACCACATGACCATAATAGTAAGTTATATAAAGTGTGTTAAAAATAAGTAGAATTTTAAGTAATTTAAGACAATTCTTGATTATGTGGGTAATTGGTTAATTACCAGGTAGCGGGATATTACCTAATTAAATAATTGATTATGGGATAAGATTAAATCCCAAGAACGTGGCAGCACTCCATCACTTATAAAGTGACTCTTAAAGTCTTGCAAAAAAATGTCACATTTTGGAGGAATTCAAGTGGATTAGTCATCCACTAGGTATGCCACACCCACTAAAGCTCTCCTACAACTAATAAAATGTTGATTCCTTAATAATAAAAGGGGGATGCTATTGCATTTCTGAGATGCTAGAAGATAAGAAGGTAGACCTATGTGTTGATATTTACAATCACCTTTATCAACTAATACTCCATCTGATTCTCATTGACCTACTTTCTGCTAATGTCCATCCCCGAAGAATGGCGTCTGTAAATTCTACCATCTTCATACAGTCTAATTAACCACTAATGCTACTAGTGCATATGATTTTTTTAATTTGACATGTATTACACATCTTGCAACAACTATTTTAGCATATACTTACCAGATTCGAATGAATGACATTCAACCTTTCATCTTGGTCTCCTCGTGAAAGTCATCCAAGTGATACAATTTGGGATCGGAGGAATGTTTATCTTGTGAGAGATCCCTCGGTTTTATGGATTTTTGTTACTGATCAAACTTAGGTATGTTAAGGCTATCCCTTATTTCTTTTTGACATGATCTATACGACACAAACGAAACGAGCAAAATGCACAACTTCCATAAATGACTCTATTCATAGAAGTATTAGAGGTGCATATGTTCTTGAATTCCCATATGTCTTATTATTCTATCATATGTTCATGGGTCTCAGAAAATACGTAAGTTGATAAAGTTTGCTTCATGATATTAATCAGAGGTATAATGGTCTTGTGACGTTCCGAGAGATTTTATTGACGTACTTCTCATGCATTGCATTCATTTATACATGTACATTAACCCATGACCAGACAGCATTATATACGCTTATATATGTATATATATGTATATGGGATATGGGAAAAGGTTACGGCGTTATATACCACTACTAAAAATTCAGGTTTTAGCGACTGACAAATTCTGTAGCTAAACAGAAAAATCCGTCGCTAATCTCATTTAGCGATGGATTAGCAACGGATTATCAAGAAATTCTGCTAGCTACGAGTGTTTTAGCGACAGATTAGTGACGATGTTCGTAGCTAATTCCAATTTTTTTTGTAGTGTACGCACCACCACCTGATCAGCTGGTATACGTGATGATTTTGCCCACAATGGCTGAGATGATATGATGGGATGCCCTCAGAGGCTTGATGATGTTATGAAACATGTACCTATGCACGGCATGACATTTATACGCATATGCATGAAATTATAAATATTTCTTTATTTACAGAGCTATCTAGACTTACAGGTTGAGTCCTTTACTCCATGTTTCTTCCGTGTTCTTTATATACTGACTTACATGCCTTACATACTCAGTGGATTATTCGTACTGATGTCCTTTTGTTGGGGACGCCGCATTCATGCCTGCACGTATAGACATTCAATTTGATGAGCCCTTAAAGTAGATGAGATTGGCATTCAGCGAAGGATCGGTAAGACTGCACCTCATTCGGAGTGCAACCGAATCTATGAGTCATCGTGTTAGAGTTTTACTACCGACTTATGGGTAGGCCGGTACCCTGTCCCATTTTATGTCAAATAATCTTAGAGGCTTTGTAGACACAGTTTTATTATGTACAGTATGACATAGGCCATGACGGCCCATATGTATTCATATTTTAAGAACAATAATTTATTGATACACATTTGCCCACTTATGACTGGTTATGGATTCCACTTCATTGAATATAAATGGACCTGGGAATAAC